AACCACTGCCTTACATGAACCAGCTTTTATACAAACACTGGGAAAATAATAAAGAAAAAGAGGCTGGGCACAGTGGTTCACACCTATAATCCCAGCACTTTGGGAGGCTGAGGTGGAAGGACTGCTTGAGCACAGGAGTTTGAGACCAGCCTGAGCAATATGGCAAAACCTTGTCTCTACATAAAACACAAAACTTAACTAGGCACAGTGGTACACAGTCCCAACAACGAGGCAGACTAAGGCAGGAGGATCGCTTGAGCTTGGGAGGTAGAAGCTGCAGTGAGCTGAGGTCATGGTACTTGGGACTCCAGCCTGGGTGACAGAGCAAGACCCTGTCTCAAAAAAATAAAAATAAAATAAAGAAAGAGAAAAAAATTATGAACAATCCCAGAATGAATATAACAAAGTCAAGGTTCAGTGCCTTATAAACTGAAGAAAGAAAATTCTCCACCTTGAAGAAACCTCAGGATAATAAAATATTCTCAACACTGCCTTACTTCACTTGATCTTCAGCACAGCCAACACTTACCAAGTTATCTACTATAGGGCAGGGAATACAGTGAGCACTTTTCTATACCTTATTCCATTTGCTCTTCCTAACAATCTGAAAAGAAAGGCATTATCGGCCAGGCATGGTGACTCATTGTGCCCAACCAATAATGTCTGTAATACCAGCATTTTGGGAGGCCAAGGCAGGAGGCTCATTTGAGCCCAGGAGGTCGAGACCAACCTGGACAACATAGCAGAACCTCATTCTACAATTTAAAAATTAGCCAGGCATGGTGGTGCAGGCTTGTAATTCTAGCTATTGGGAGGCTGAGGTGGGCAGATTGCTTGAGTCCAGGAGGTGGAGGTTGCAGTAAGCTGTGATCACATCACTGAACTCCAGCCTGGGTGACAGGGTAAGATCCTGAAAAAAAAAAAGGAAAATATGGAAGGAAAAAGGAAGGAAGGAAGGGGGGGAGGGAGGGAGGGATGGGGGAGGGAGGAAGGGAGTGAGGGAAAGGACAGGAGGGAAGGAGAAGCGGGAGGGGAAGGGGAAGGAAGGAGTATTAGCCTGTTTTCACATTGCTATAAAGAGCTACCTGAGCCTGGGTAATTTATGAAGAAAAGAAATTTAATTGACTCACAGTTCCACTGGCTTAACAGGAAGCATGACTAGGAGGCCTCAGGAAACTTACAATTATGGCAGAAGGCAAAGGGGAAGCAAGACACATCTTACATGGTGGCAGGAGAAAGAGGAAGTGAGAAAGGAAGTGCCGTATTTTAAAACCATCAGTTCTCATTCACTATCACCAGAACAGCAAGGGAGAAAGCTGCCTCCATGATCCAATCACCTCCCACCAAGCCCCTCCTCCAACAAATGGGGATTACAATTTCGACATGAGATTTGAGTGAGGACACAAACCAAACCATACTAAAAGGCATTAACTGTTTTACAAAGGAGGAAACTGAGGCTGAGATAATTTAAATGACTTGCCCAAGGTCACAAAGCTAGTCAGCAATGTTAAAACTTGAATCTAGAACAACCACTGGCTCCAACTCCAATGCTTTGTCCATTGCTGTACTGCAGCATTCTACAAGAAAACTGGTAGCTATAATCAATGAAAAGCCAAAAAGTAATACAATTTTCTCATTCACACTTTACACATGAGACAAAAAGGCATATCCTCAATGTTAACAATGGTTATTCATGGAAAACAAGTTTATCTGTTATTTTTATTTTTTCTTTGTGTTTTCCACATTTTCCAAATTGTTTTGCCTTGAATATGTATTGCCTAATAAAAAGTTATTCAAATTAATTTCTGAAAACAAAAATATTTCACAAAAATATCAACCTTAAATGTCAGTTTCAAGTAAACCATTATCATCATTTCTCATGTATGAGTCTACCAAAGATTAAGAAGTTTGTCAATACTCAGCTTTGAATAAGAATGCAGGTAGTCTCATATGCTGTTAGAAACTTAAGTTAGTATAAGGTTCTTAGCAACAATGCAGGCTCTATCATAATGTGAACTGCATATGTTCTTTCAGTAATTCCACTTCTAGGAAATTTTCCCATAGGTATACCACATGTATAATATACAAAAATATATGCTCAAAGATATTTATTGCCTGTCAATAGAGGAATTGGGACAGTGGAATTCAAAACAACCATTATAGAAAATAAGGCACATCTTTAGGTACTAATATAGAAAGCTATCTATGATAGTGTTAAATAAAACATCATGTTATAAAATAGCATGTATAGATGGAGTCTAGGATATACAAGTGCATATTATATATATGATTTGATGTATGTATATGTGAGTATGCAGGAATCCACGTCTGTGTGAGAAGTTAAAGAGAAAAAATGGATTTTTATTTTCATTTTTATACTATTCTCTGAATTGTTTTAAATATTCTTTTCATTATTATATATCAAACTAAAATAAGTTTGGAGGGGGTTAGTTTATAAGAGCCAAGAGGCCTGGCTTTCATGCAATGGCTTGAAAACAAAGCAAGACATAAAATAGAGCTGTCTTCTGTTACAACTGCAAATGCTCACAAAACAAGACAGTGTGTGAAAGTTTCCCAGCCTCTGTGTGCCAATGAGAGGCATAATGGAGACAGTTCTCTCCTGGCACATTCAGAGACAAAGCCAGGCTCCTATCTCCTGTTAGAAGATTTTAATGGCTGAATTTGAAGACCAATAACTACAGTAAAATCCTGCTATACTTTCACGGCAACCTAAACCAATTTCCCTAGAAATTCAACCCAACTTTTCCTGTCTTATCCCTCCAGCTTGTCTCTTCCTAAAGTAGCTGAAATATCTTGGCTACAGGGTGCCCAAGATGTCAATTCCTCTTTTGAAAATCTCTCCCATGCCCCAATATGGCAGAAGAACTGAGTTCTGCTGCTAGTTTCACTGTGCATAAGCTCACTGAACCTAATTGAACCTTCTCTCAAAAACGTTTTATTGATACCACCTACTTCATTGGATCATTGCAAGATTTCCATATGACAGAGCACAACAAAGTGCGTTGCTGGTGGGGGATACTGATAATGGGAAACGCTATGTATTTGTGGGCAGGGAATATATGGGAAATCTTTGTACCTTCTTCTCAATTTTGCTGTGAACCTAAAACTGCTCTTACAAAAATAGTCTTTAAAAAATTAAATTTAGGCTGGGTGTAGTGGCTCACATCTGTAATCCCTATATTTTGGGAGGCCAAAGCAGGAAGATTGCTTGAGACCAAGAGTTCAAGACCAGCCTGAGCAACATAGCAAGACCTTTTGTCTACAAAAAAATTAAAAATTAGCCAGGCATGTTGGTGCATGCCTGTAGTCCCAGCTATTTGGGAGGCTGAGGCAGGAGGCTTACTTGAGCCCAGGAATTTGAGGCAGCAGTGAGCTATGATTGCACTACCGCATTCCAGCCAGCTTGGGCAACAGAGCAAGGCCCTGTCTCAAATCAATAAATAAATTTTTTAAAGGCTGATCTTAGTGTTGAACAGTATAATTGCTGGCCTCATCTATGATGTAGAAATCCTGCCTACAATGTGAATACCTAGGAAGCCACCTCAAACTCTCTGTGCAAGCAGCCAAACTGTCTCTTAAAAACACAACTCAAACCGCATTTGTGGCCATTCCCTCCTAGTTCACTAGGCACCAGTTATATCAGGTACACACTCCTTTCTACAAAGCTATATCCCTTCTCCAGGTCTTTGCATGTGCTTTACCCAGAACTTGAAATGCCCTACACTCCACTCTTTCTCTCTCCTACTTGTTTCTGTTTCTTCAGGGGTCAGCTCAACCATTATATCCTCAAAAGGGCCTTTCCTGACCATCCCCTGGAAGGTAGGTCTCACGTCCTACTACCACCCTGAGTCATTCTCTGCTCGCTCTAGCCCTCCATAGCATTTAGCATACCATAGAACCATGTATCTTTGTTCCCTGGTCATGCACTATAATCTAAACTCAGAAGTGCCAAGATCTTATCTATCTTATCCTCTACTCTATCTCCCATGGCTAGAATAGTGGCAGCACATAGTAGGCAGCCAGGAGACATTTATGCAACGAATGAAGAGTATCAACTCCAAACGCATTCATTTGCATTCTCACATTTTGCCATGCCTATGAAAAAGGCAGGTCTGGATGACTTTTCTCATTTGAATGACTTGCCCAAGGTCACAGCTTGTAAATGACCAAGTCAGAGCTTACATTTGGAGCTCCTGACTCATAATTCCCTAGTACTCCCACTGCTCAACAGCTTCCACTAATTTAGACATAGAAGGATTGAAAACAGAGCAATATATCTAGGCTTCAGCAAGAAGAGATGGGGAAGAGAAAGATCTGCTTTCCTGCAGAGGTAAAGTAAGAGATATGGGGGGAAGAAATGGTGAGCTATTACCTTATACTCTCAAGCTATGAATTAGTAAAATTCATTCCTTCATCTCTATGAAATGCAGCTGCCTCCAGTACTGCAGCTCATGAAAGCTCTCATCACTAAGTCACAGTATGGAAGGAACACTTTCCTGATTGAAGCAGCAAGTGAAATTTTAGGTAAGCCAGATGCAATTGCCTAAATTGGAAAGTGACATGAGTCTTCACACCTTTTGGACCACATGCAGCAGACTGAGAGCTAAGTCACATGCATACACATACCCCAAAACTACAGTCATCCACACATGGCATGGGGCTTTACATATCCCAAGCATGCTGACTCACTGACTGGAGAGAAGGGAAGGAAAAGAGAGAAGACAAGAGTAGACAAATAGGAGAGGCAAAGGAGAAGAGAGAGGGATAAGGACGTTGAAGATGGGTGGGAAACAGAAAGTGAAAGACAAGAGAAAGACAAAAGAAAAGAGGGAAAGACTGCAGAAGAGGAAGAATCTAAAAGAATAAGGGTCAGGGGAAATGAAGACTATTATCCTGCTAAGATTTTTGCTGCAACGCTCAAGTGGTCAAATGCTGGTTATAAGACAGTCCTCAGTCCTTGAAAATGTCTAGGATCAAGGTTTTTCAGAGAATTCTGAAGAAAAAAAAAATTCTAGTTTCAATAATCATCTTCCAAGTTTCTCAGGTGTTTGATTATTCTTCCTGTGTCTCCATCAGCAAGCAAGCAAGTAACCAGGGCCTAGGGCTCTCCCACTGAGAAGGGGCCACCCGACACCAACACCATCCTGGCCTCGGGCCTCAGGCCTGAACTCAGCCCAGAGCCACAGAGCTTCAGTTCTAGCATTTCTGCCCATTATCTTACTCCTCCTCAAGGCAAACACAGGGACTGCTCCTGCCTCTCACCCCTCCACAGCACTCCCCTGGGCATCTGCACAGCCTAATGGGCAGTCTACCAAAATGCTGAAAGCCTGGTGAAAGCTTGTGCCAAGCTGACAGTATCCTCAGCCCTTCCACAGGCTGAGGTGTTCATGGTGAGCTTGCAGCAGAGAAAAACAGTTGGTCACATTTTCCACTTCTGGCTGAGACTAGAAATACTACCTCTTCTCCTGCTGCCATCCAGGCATCTCCTGTACCTCACACCCTACCACTGGTTGGTTGTCAGTCTGTCATTCACCTGTGTGATGCTTCCCCAGGCTCCCTTTTTTTCCCAGTCTCACTGGCACTGCCCTGGCTAGGGCCTTTGTGGTTTCTCAGTCATCAGCTAAACTGCCATTCGATTGTTTTCCTGGTCCTCCACAGGCCAGCTCTGTCTTCTAGCATACCCCTCCCCTTCCTCCTAAATCAAGCATGCCTGCCTGGGGCCCTGGAATCTGTGTTTTTTTTCCTTCAACTTTTAAGTTCTGGGGTACATGTGCAGGATGTACAGGTTTGTTACATAGGTAAACGTGTGCCACGATGGTTTGCTGCACAGATCAACCCATCACCTAGGTGTTAGGCCATTATCCATTAGCTATTCTTCCTGATGCTCTCCTTCCCCCTACCCCACCTGACACCCTGACAAGCCCCAGTGTGTGTTGTTCTCTGCCATGTGTCCATGTGTTTTCATCTTCAGCTCCCACTTATAACTGAGAACATGTGGTGTTTGGTTTTCTGTTGCTGCATTAGTGTGCTGAGAATAACAGCTTCCAGCTCCATCCATGTCTCTGCAAACAACATGATCTGGTTCCTTTTAATGGCTGCATAGTAGGGAATCTGTGTTTAATCAAGTAAATCTGATGTAGCCAGGACACAGTTGGGAACCACAGGTGGGATTCATCCTTACACAGCTGTCAATTATCTCCAGGATTCACATTTTGCCCTCTTTTCCCTGGGGCTCCAGTATGACTTTTGTAGGCCGTAGGCATTTTTACCTTCATGGACCTATTCCTCTATTAATAGGGGTAAAAAAAAACCCATATATTATAATGACTGCATTTGAATAAAGATGAATTCATTATTGTTGTGCTTATTTATTTTATTCTGGCTTTAAAGGCAATTAAAATGTAAATATTTTTGTCGACCCTAAAATGATTGTGCTTCCTACACACTGTGTCTAGTAGGTAAGTCAGCCCTACCTCACCTCTGTCCCCAAATCTTCAGTGGCCTTCCACTGCCTGCAGAATAAAGTCCAGCCTCCTCAGCAGACTCACCATGACCGGGGTCTTATCTTCCCAGCACCATCTGCTAAAGTACCTTCCACCCATCTGGGCTCCAGCTTCAAGCCTAATGCAGTGCTCTCAACATACCATGCACTATGATGCCACTGTGCATTAGCCGGAAGCCCAAAACAAGTTTTCTTTCCTTCTTTCCCTACGGATTTCTGGCTCAAATATCAACTTCCACTGTGGCCTTCCTTAGTCTTCCTGGTTAAAATTATGGTTCCTTCTTCTGCACTCCTATAGTACTTTATATAACTATTATTACACTATTTATTCACACTGTCTTTTGTCAAATATCTCCAATTCTAATTGCACTTTTTGCACAGCATAACACTTCTAAAATCAGGAAGTGGATTACAATGTATGCCAAACACACTTGCCAGCTCCCAGGTGTACTACACCACAATACACCGAGGTGATTTTCTGCACAGGCAAACTCGACACTGCACAGGAGGCACTGGCTCATCTGCTTGCTTCCTTGGTGGTGATATTTGCACTGCTAATATCACACACATTTGAATTTTAATTTAAAGTTTCTCTCTAGTACATTTAAAATTATGTTCTGATGTATTATTGAAATAAAAAGATATTTTTGCATCTAGACCATGACCTGTGATATCTCAGATAAAGCAACTAAAGGTAGTAGAAATTGCCAGATCCCTTGGCACATGTTATGGAACTTCCTAATTCCTTGGACCATGAAAAACAACTTCTCAGATACTGAGCTACTCTGTCAAAAGCTTCCAAGTAAATTTCAGGAATAGCTGTTTAATATCCAATAACTGTAATTTAGTTTTTTCAGAGTTATACATTTTGCAAAAAGGAAATGCACTATCTAAACTCCAGGATTCTTCATCCATCTCAAACATAGGTTTTTTCCAAAAGGGGTTCAAGATGGTGAGCACGGATTTTAAAAAGCAGTAAGTCAGCAGAAAACTTATACACAACTACAGACAGCCAGAGATGATACAAAGAACTTTTAATATTAAACCTGAAAATGGCTAAGATTAAAACTTAATGATACTGATTAAGAAACACACAGATCTATAGATAAAAGTAATCTATCGTTAGTTCATGAAAAAAATATACATTTTGAGTTCCCTTTTTCTGGCTAAACAAGAGTTAGCTTTAAGATGAATCATCCAGTAAATTGTTTTTGTTGGTCGAAAAAGCACAGTCTTTTGGTAAGCTAATTCTTTTCTTGACATGTCTATCTATATTAGAAAACTGTTGAGGGTCTAAGCTATACATTAATCATCTTTCTTTCATTTCCAGTGCCTTTGTATATGAAAAAAAAGTGCTCATAACTGAATTGGTCTAGCTTTTGACCAACAGTTACATTTCTCTCAAACCTGGCCTCATTTCTGTTAAAACCTAGCTATATGCTTATTTTTAGATTTGGATGGGCATATTTCATTATGAATGCCCTTTTAAAAATTCAAAATCCGTTCATGCTTTTGTGCATTCAACAAGCATTTATCAGGCTCCTAATAAATGCCAAGCAATGACAAGAATACAAAGGAGAATAAGACCCAGCCTTGCTCTGAACTTTACTTACAGACTAGAGGGAGAGACAGGCCAGGCAGCATATCACAACTCAGTATGATGAGAGTTGTGATAGGGAAGTACAGGCTGCTGAGGAGCATGGAGAATGACCATTGCATACAGCTTGGAATTAAGGATTATCTAAGCCAAGCCCTGAAGAATGAGTAGGAGATAACCTGGAAAAGTGGGTATCCAGGGAGCTATGGGATAAGTTGGCCCCCACTGAGGGAACAGCATATGCAAAAACATAAAGATAGAAGTTCAGGCTGGGGAGGGGATCTACCAGTGGAGAGACAACAAGTTTTCTTGGGCTCCCTTTCAGAGGTACCACAAAGGGCTTCTGATGACCTGTTAACAATACCCTGGAATTTATCCTAAGAGCAGTGGGGATCCATTTTCATTTGCAAGGTATTTTTCCAAAAACATATAATGCTGCATCAATTATATTGTTCTCTCAATGCCATATCAAGTCTTAATCAGCTTTATTCAATGCTGGTTTTGCTGTCGCCTTCATTTCCAGTGTTTTTAAATTCTTTTTTTTCTTAATCCACATTTCAATTTTAGTATTCAATACCCCAAGGTTTCATTTATGAACACTTACTCCAGTTTAGTCCTCTTAAGTTCATTTGCTTGCTGTGCATTTATGTTTAACAGGTAAGAGCTATAAATTACCAGCTATTTCAAAAAAGGCAACTAACTGCACTAGAAAATGAAAATTTATAGTTTTATCATTAGATCAGAGTTTAAAAAAATCAAGGGATAGGCCGGGCGCATTGGCGTAAGCCTGTAATCCCAGCACTTTGGGAGGCCGAGGCGGGTGGATCACGAGGTCAGGAGATCGAGACCATCCTGTCCAACATGGTGAAACACCGTCTCTACTAAAAATACAAAAAAAAATTAGCCGGGAGTGGTGGTGCGTGCCTGTAATCCCAGCTACTTGGGAGGCTAGGCAGGAGAATTGCTTGAAAGCAGAAAATGGAAGTTGGAGTGAGCTGGGATTGTGCCACTGTACTCCAGACTGGGAACAGAGCGAGGCTCTACCAAAAAAAAAAAAAAAAAAAGGATAAGGATTTGTTTAAAAATCTCTTATTATTAGGGCATTACACCTTTCTCAGAACAAGTATAATTTGCAGAAATTATTTAGCAATGTTTTATTTAGCTGAAATGCTATTTCACTTGTAAAAACTATCTCCAGTTACAAAAAAAAAAAAAATCGCAAACCTTAATTAAATTTAACCTGCTTTTGCAAATGTCTTAACAAGTTTTAAGCTAAACAATTTTTAAGCAGGAAAATGATAATTTAAAAATAGTTTGTTATACTGTTTCTGTGGTTTATGTATTAACTGGCCTCTTTGATAGGCAGAAGCTTATCACACTAAACACTGTAAAATAAAGGCAAGAGCTAATCATCTTCTAGCAAAAATACTCTCTGTGCAACAACTGCAAATGTCAAAGCTATTATTTAGTGGTTGATAATTGCCTGCTACAAAATATAAAACAAAGTACATTTACTGGATTGTTTTTCAGCTTGCCACTGCCCTCTGACATACCAAATAAGGAATTCCCGTAGACAAAAGCTGCAGTGCAATTCACTCAGCCTCAGACCAAGCCTCCCCTCACCATTATCCTTGTTCTTCCTCACTGCCCCCAAATCCTGAAGTGGCACCATATTATTAAAAACTTTAAGTACCTGGGGGTTATGCTTCAGAGTAAGACATCATTTGAGTAATTTCAAATGATGCACAGCTCCTTCATGTAGAAAAAGATGTTTTGTGGTCACAATTACTTCAAAAAGTAATTATATTCAAATAACCTGACATATCATGCCTTAGCAATTACCAAAACATGATTTTGACACATGGCAATTTTTAAGTTAGGCAAATATGAAATGCTAAAAAATGTGAACAGCTGTTCTTCTGTTTAAGTTAGAGCACTGCAAAACTCAGGTAATGACTTTATTTTTTTCAGTTAACGTAACCAGCCCACGGTACAGCATACTAAATCACAAAGTACAAACCTAAGAAAGTGAATACCTTTACTAAGTTACAAACCTTTGACAAATCAATACAGTACTCTTTAATATAATGAAACCGTACTTTTGTTCAAGTCAGGTTACTTTAGTGATAATTTTCACTCCAAAAATATTTAAGTACCAAATTAAAACACTGGTTTTTAATGGTGGCTTATAGCAGAGCAAGTTATTTTACACAAACTATATTTTAAAACTACACAATTTCTCCTTTTAAGTGAGTTGCCTTTGGCAAGATGTTGAAGTGTACAGCAGCAGGGCAATGAGTGTCTATAGGAGGTGACTCTACTCTGTTCTGGGGTTGGCCAAAGTCAGGTGGCGTTCCAACGTTTCAAAAGATTGAAAATTCTACCTTAAGGAGATTCAATATCAATACCAATTTCCAAGGAGTTCTTGTTGAATTTTCATAGAAATACTGGAACTCTCAAGATCAGATAGTAATTTCAAACAATATTAATTTAAGATGATCTCTTTTATTTAGAGGCCCTGCAACTGATTTGATCAAGTCACATAGCCTTACACCAACTTATCAAAAAAAAATCTATCTAAAATATAGTTGTATTTTTAAAGTAACACATAAATATGTAGTCAGCTTGGAGAGACCTGGGGTACCCCACGTCTCTACCAACTTCCATGATCACTTCTCGGCAAATGCTGCTGCTGCCCCTGGAGTTGTTATGCTTCCTCTTCCCGAGGCTGTCAGTTCTTCAATCTTGGCATTTAATTTATGTATTATCCATTCCATTGCTTCTCAGCCTTTACCAGCGTTTGCGGATGTCATACTTGCCATCAGACCTTCAAGGTAACTGCTGAGGTTAACTCCTTTCATGGTGATTATGGCTTCTTGAGTCAAAACAGTTTTTTCTGGGTCCTGAGGATTTGGTTTGTGTATAAGTTTCATATACTGAAACCATATTTGTAAATGAAATATTAGTAGAGTTAAGTTCCATTGTTTTCTCTACAGGATCAACTACAGAATATTCGTGCACATATGTTTCGTTCTTGCTGCACCACTAAGAATAAAAGGCTTCACAATGAAAGGCAGTCCCTACCGTGTACTGAGAAGTCTGTGGCTGTGCAATTTTCCAGAGGGATCTATATGTCTGTCCAACACATCAACTCCAACCACGCTTGGGTCCATAGGGTTTGGTTATTTCTGCATTGCAGCTGTTGTAGCAATTTCCCACGAGTTGTTGAAGATGTGCTCTCAAGTCCAGATCTTCATGGTACAAGCGGCCTGAGCAATGTCTGGGTGGCGCCAGGGCACAACAAGGCCCAGAGGCTACACTGGTCCTCGCCCCACCCCCAGCACCCCAGCACCTTAGCCAGCTCTGGGGATCGCTCCTGCAAAGGGCCCTTGACAGGACCCTCACCATCTTGAGCTTGAGCCCATACACGTTTCTCCTCTCCTGGAGGCTGTTGAGCTAAAGGAAAAGAGGAAGTCTGGTTGCACTGATTTTATAAACATCAATCTTTGCCTCTGACATTTGCAACAGGATGGCTGAGCTCAGGCCTTGTGGTCTAACGAGACATTGTATGGTTAGACATTGTGTGCCTCCTAGTTCCTTCTCTGCACAATAACTGTATGACTTTGTTTACCACTGCTAACTCAATCATATTGTTTGCATATGATCCTATATGAATAGGCAAGGTTAGAATGACATTTGGAAAGGTCCAGCTGTACCTTGTTAACGATCTTACTTGCTTGACTGATTTTAGATAAACATATGTTTAGATTTATGACCCCCTTTTGCAAACTTTATTGTCCCTTTGCTGTACACCCTATGAATAAGAGTCATACTTTCTGTACCCCTTTTTCTTGTGATTTATGTTCTTGATTTTATTTCAAGATACAATGGAATGTACGTCACTCCTCAAGCACTGAAAGGTATATAACCTGTGGTGTGCACAAACAAACTTGCTGCTTTGGCACTTGTTGCTCCGGCATTGCCTGGCAGTCCTCCAGACCCCACTTTCTATCTATCTTTTCTTCCACGCACTCCCTCTTCCAGGTTAAGAACATTTGAGTGGGTCTGAGGCTCTCCACTGGTCGGAAGCCCCCCAGCAGACGTGCCGGACCCCCACAGCCGGCAGCACAGCCCGCAGGCACTGTCAGCCAGTGTTTTTAAATTCTTTAAATTTAAGTGAAGAAAATATATTTGTAGTTTCATGGGATTCAAAAACAACTCATTTTGATTCTCTCAGTCACTCCTAATTTTCCTTGCCTCAGAGAAAGAAGCAAATTAAAAAATTCACCACTAAATTCTTCATTTGCAAACTTATGGGCATTTCTCTATCACATTTTACACAATATAGAATAAGTAGAGCCTGGGCCAGGCGCGATGGCTCACACCTGTAATCCCAGCACTTTGGGAGGCTGAGGCGGGCAAATCACGAGGTCAAGAGATAAGACCATCCTGGTCAACATGGTGAAACCCCATCTCTACTAAAACACAAAAAATTAGCTGGGTGTGGTGGTGCATGCCTGTAAGTCCCAGCTACTTGGGAGGCTGAGGCAGAAGAATCACTTGAACCCGAGAGGCAGAGGTTGGCGTGAGCCGAGATGACAGAGAGAGATGCTGTGAGCCGAGACGACAGAGAGTTGCACCAGCCTGGGTGACAGAGAGAGACTCCGTCTCAAAAAAAAAAAAAGAAAAGAATAAGTAGAGCCTGTGTAACCTCATGCAACTTGCTTAACCTCTCTGTGCCTTGGTTTATTCAACTATAAGAGGACGCTTACTATCACTTATCTTACAGGATTCTTACAAGGGTTAAATATGATACCATATGCACAGTGTTTAGCATAATGCCTGAATTATAATCATTAAATTGTAGCTATTTTTGTCATTAAGCATTATTGAACAATGTACAGATATGTATGTGGTTAAGCTTTGAATCTGTATTTTATTATAATTCTAATGGTATACATATACATATATGTATATAGCATATATATTTACACATACTTATGTTGTATGTTGAAAATCTTTCCAGAAACTTTTAGGCATTATCGCTGAGGCAAGGACCTAAAGAATCAGGGAGAGGAGAGAATACTTTACTTTTTTCATTTTATTCCTTTCTGTAATCTTTAACCCTTTGTGTGTGTGTGTGTGTGTGTGTGTGTCTGTGTGTGTGTGTGTGTGTGTGTGTGTGTGTGTGTGATGGAGTCTCGCTCTGTCACCAGGCTGGAGTGCAGTGGTGCAATCTTGGCTCACTGCAACCTCTGCCTCCCGAGTTCAAGCGATTCTCCGGCCTCAGCCTCCTGAGTAGCTGGGACTACAGGCGCACCACCACACTCAGCTCATTTTTATATTTTTATTAGAGACAGGGTTTCACCATGTTGACCAGGATAGTCTCGATCGCTTAACCTCAGAACACCTGCCTTGGCCTCCCAAAGTGCTGGGATTATAGCTGTGATCTACCCTCCCCGGCCTTTAAGTCTTTTTTAACCTTTTATAATAAAAATTGGTGAAAACCCCTGTGGCGCAAAATAAAAATTAAGAAAAAACCATTATTCTCAAAGCTTAGGATAATGATATGGAAATCATTTTATATAGAGAAAAGAGTGTGGAACTTAGGCTTGATTGGCCTAGAATAGAGGAAAACTAGATTAAGAGGAGAATCAGTGTCTGTTCTCAAAAATCAGTTATCTAAAGACCACCATGTGAAAGGAGGATTGGAGGCTGGGCACAGTGGCTAACACCTGCAATCCCAGCACTTTGGGAGGCCAAGGCAGACCGATCACCTTAGGTTGGGAATTCCAGACCAGCCTGGACAACCTGGTGAAACCCCATCTCTACTAAAATACAAAAATAAGCTGGGCATAGTGGCATGTGCCTGTAATCTCAGCTACTCCAGAGGCTGAGGTAGGAGAATTGCCTGAACCTGGGAGGCAGAAATTACAGTGAGCCAAGATCATGCCACTGCACTCAAGCCTGGGCAACAGAGCAAGACTCCGTCTCCAAAAAGAAAAAAAAAAGGATTGAATTTAATTTGTTTCTAGAGAACCAAAAAGGCTGATTTTGCCCAAATAAAAATAACTCTGTACTGATGAGAACAGTTCAAAGATACTGCTCCAATGGCAAAAAGTCCATCACAGAAAACGTCCACCATTGGCTACCTGGCCAACTTTCTGAGATTTGGTTCCAGGGATTTCCCTTCCAAATCTATGAATTCTGGCAGTCTCCAAGCATTTGAAATTTGAAACTTAGATTGACATATCTTGTTCTGTTATCCAGTAACTTGTGCATCCTTAAATGATTATCCAGTAATAGCCAAACTATAATCACACATTAAATATGTTATATAAATTGACCGGGCCTGGTGGCTCACACTCGTAATCCCAGAACTTTGGGAGGCCAAGGTGGGCAGATCACCTGAGGTAAGGAGTTCAAGACCAACCTGGCCAACATGGTGAAACCCCGTCTCTACTAAAAATACAAAAATTAGTCAGGCGCCATGGTGGTGGGCGCCTCTAATCCCAGTTACTCGGGAGGCTGAGGTAGGAGAATAACTTGAACCCGGGAGGCGGAGGTTGCAGTGGGCCGAGATCACGCCTCTGCACTCCAGCTGGGTGACAGAGTGAGACTCTGTCTCAAAAAAATACAAATAAATAAATAATAAGTTACATAAATCAACTTTGCCTCCAACCTACAAGACCTTTAAACAGGCAGGTATTCTTAAGAAAGGATTATTAGTACATATATGTTTACTGTACTTCCATGAAGTATACAGTTATATAAATACATATCTTACAATGTTGAAACCTGGCATATAAACACTAACTAGAATATAATTTGTTAAAGGTAATTTTTATTTACAACCAGATTCACACTACATGTTATTTTAGCATTGTTCATTATCCTTATTCTTTAAAATGTATTAATATCTGTTTCCAGATTTTAATTGGACTACTCTTTTTCAGCTTGTCATTATGAACTTGGTAAATTAAGCCCAATACTGGAACACTTTAGCAGCTCAATATTGGAAGTTCTACTTTTGTGGGTTCTACTTTCCCTGAAAAGTGGGGTGCACCCAAGAGAAATAGGGGGTTTCAGCTAATGAACTGGGGTAGTGCAGTGCCTTTGAGATATGATAGGATGACCTTTAAATGACGTTTTTCTAGAGAATAATTTGAATGACGAGAAAGTGAGCCAGGGAAGGCAGAGAGCTCTGGAAGACGCATCTGGCTACGAGACTGCTGTTATCTACCACTTGGGAGGCTGTTGACTTAGAAAGCCATTACATTCCTCTGAACATCTGTCCCTCCTTTATCTAAAAACAGAGAGGGAAATCAAAGTAGATAAAATTGTTTCCATTTCAACAATCAGTTGATATTGTGCCTACCCAAAAGTTTAGTTCAGTGGGGAAAAACTCAAACCTTTGAGTCAGAAGAGGACCTAAGTCTGTCTGTCACTATCTATTCCACCTTTGACAGGTCTCCTACCACCTCTGATAATAAGTTTCTTCATATGATGAATTGAAAGGTCAAGATACAAAGTAAAGAAAGACTGCAAATGTATTTTTATATTGCTTTTAGCCTCAATTAAAGCTCTCTGGTAAGAACAGCTATTATCATTCCCCTTTATAAATGGGAACAGGTCAGGCATGATGGCTCATGCCTGTAATCCCAGCACTTTGGGAGGACAAGGTGGGTGGATAACTTGAGCCCAGGAGTTCGAGACCAGCCTGGGCAACATGGCAAAAACCCATCTCTACAAAGAAAAAAAAAATTAGCCAGGCATGGTGGTTCATGACTGTAGTCCCAGCTACTCAGGAGGGTAAGGCTGGAGGGTCGTTTGAGCTCAGGAGGACCAGACTGCAGTGAGCCATGATCACACCACTGCACTCCAGCCTGGGTAACAGAGCAGGACCCTGTCTCAAACAAAGAAACAAATAAGAACAGACTTTAAAATGTTACTAGAGGCAGGCATGGTGGTTCATGCCTGTAATCACTGTACCTTGGGAGGCCAAGGCAGGCAGATCACTTGAGACCAGGAGTTTGAGACCAGCCTGGCTAACATGGCAAGAGCCCATCTCTACTAAAAATATAAAAATTAGCCAGGTGTGGTGGCACATGCCTGTAATCCTAGCTACTTGGGAAGCTGAAACATGAGAACTGTCTGAACTTAGGAGGTGGAGGTTGCAGTGAGCTGAAATTGCACCACTGTACTCCAGCCTTGGTGACAGAGAGAGAGAGAGAGAGAGAGAGAGAAGAAAAGAAAAAGGTTACTAGGTTTTTCAACAAGTAACAATAATGCAGAGGTTTGATCCCAAGTCTCCAAGCATAGATACATTCTGCTTTCCCTACCTATTTAATAAAATTCTGGGGAAATGAAATAAGAGAATTCTCCAAGTGTTCTATTATAAACAGTCTTACAAGTATAAGGTATTATTAAGATTAAGCTTTAAATTCTCTAGAGAGATATCAACATTTTTTTCCATTCATTAACATTTCTGTCAGAGCAAAAGCCCCATAAACCACTGATCCAATCCAGCATGTCACCGTACAATCAGTTGAATAAATGGGCAGATTACCACTGCTTTAGAAATGATCCATGAACTTAATTAGATATACTAAACAAATGGATACATTTATACTGCACAGGCCACACTTTGAGGATCTTAGAAGAAAGAACTATAATTAGGCAAGACAGATACAATTGTACCACTAAATAAATCCTACTCTCAGAGTCCATTCCTTCATTCAAACCAAAGAAATCATTCTCAATTGAAAATATGCATCAAAATCATCATAGGATACCCTGTACTTTTACGACAAAGCCACAACATCCCTCTAAGAAAATATAGGAGTAAATGGTGGATAAGGAGAGGCGAAAAGGGATCCCTGCAACCTCTTCATACAATGTCACTTTTATCAAGTTTAAGGATCAACTCCTGGCAATAGCACATGAGAGATAACAATATTCTAATGAAACACTTTCCCATCACAATAGGTTATTAAATCAATCCATTATTCTTCTCTCAACCTATTTAAAAAGTCTGATTTCGTGAAAAAGACGATTCTTTAAAATTCAGGACTCACCGTAGGTTGCTCTGCTCTGTGTTATAGTAATTTGCCCCCACTGACAATCCCCTAGAGGCCACAAGGATTTCATTCACTACTGTGTTCCCCCACAGTGCTTAGCACATAGCAAGGCTCAGAAAATAAACGTTGAATGTATTCTACAATGTAACATATTTCAAAAACCAATTCCAACTCTTAAAATAATAATCCCTATGAAAAATGAAAACACATGTATTTTATATTTCTTTCATTTTCCTGAGTGAGGCTCCTTCACACTCATTTGGAATGTGTTTGTTTTCATTTCAATTGTTTACATGCTCACTATATGTAAACACGATTATGGTGGCATCGTTCAGAGAACATGAATCTTTTTAAGATTTAAAGGAGATTACATCCAGTCAAAAAATGGATTACACTTTGATATATCACAGATTTGAAAAAATGTAAATCGAATAATCACGTGCAACATCAATAATAAAAAAAAAAAAAAAGTCCTGGCTGGGCGCCGTGGCTCACACTTGTAATCCCAGCACTTTGGGAGGCTGAGGTGGGCAGATCACCTGAGGTCAGGAGTTCAAGACCAGCCTGCAAACATGGTGAAACCCAGTCTCTACTAAACGTACAAAAATTAGCTGGACATGGTGGCAGGCATCTGTAATCCCAGCTACTCGGGAGGCTGAGACAGGAAAATCGCTTGAATCCAGGAGACGGAGGTTGCAGTGAACCAAGACTGCACCTGCACTCCAGCCTGGGCGATAAGAGCAAGACTCCGTCTCAAAAAAAAAAAAAAAAAAAAAAAGTCTTGAAACCATCAGTCCCTTGGGGATCATTTTAGCTTTATTTAAAATGGTCTAAGAGAACGTCCCAACAGTATCTTCAGAGCTTTAATGGGTAGAATTTACTTTCAACCCAGGACATTTGAGCAACTGTGGACAATATTTCATCCTACTTTGGGACAATAAAAATAGAAAATGATAGCCCAAGGAGAGACATTACACAATTAAAATAAACAAGCATTTGTTTGCAAAGCAGGGCATTGAAATTCAATTTGATTTCATTACTGTTCAAACAACCTCATATGAATATTTCCTCTGGAGTCCTCAGTTGTCCAGTATTAAAATTGCCAGTGTAGAACCAACCACTGAAGAGGTCAATTATAAATTATCTCTGTAAACAATTCTACGAACCTGGTTCCCTGCAGAAGTCAGCAAATAGCTATAATAATACTCCTAGACCAACATGGATATATGAAATGTCTGTTTTGATACTGAAATCGCAAATGCCAACAGCAGTTCCAAGAGAGGACTCTAACTTGCCAAAACGTTGTATAGAAGACAGTTGCAAGCACAGATACAAAGTTTAGAGGCATTTCCATTGTCCCTACATGTAAAGGTTTATGAAAGCTGTACACTCAATGCCAAAGGAAAAACAAGATCAACGCCAACAACAGATGAAATAAATTTCATTGTGCAAACCGTAAAAGCTGTGTAAGAGCTCTAGATCCCAGGTTAAAAACTACAGGAGAAAGGTAACATTAACTCTAGCAGACGGCTGAGTTAAGATGTGGCAGAGCTTTACAGAATTGCAAATAGCATCAGCATTGCGAGTATAACAATTGGAATAAACACCGTCTGCATGCTGCAAAAACAATCAACGCACTTGTTCCTTCACCTCTCTCTCTCACCCAGCTAGGTAGTGAAAGCAGCTGCCTCTCCCAGCCCTCCTCCCAAGCGGTTCTTCGCGCCATCCCCTCCCCTCTCCTCTCCACCCCTCCCCTCCTCCTTCCCTCCCCCTCCCCGCCCCCAGCTGCCTTATTCAGCAGCCTAGAGAGATTAGGAGGCGCTCGCTACAGTCCCTGGGCCTCCGGACTGCTGGCTAACGTTTCCTAGCTCCCTAGATGAGAGAAATTAGACTCGACACCTGGGTGGTATTAGAAGCTTTCGCCTCCAGCCCAGCTCTCTAGCACGCCAGGGCTAAGGGCGAGGGGGAGCCTCGGGCCGGGCGACTGGGAGGCTCCGGAGGCCGCGCGCGGCTCAGCGCTGCGCTCCCCGCGGGCAGCGCTACCTGAGCTGTCCATGGTGCTGGCGCGGTCTGGAGGCTGCCGGGCGGGACTCCGCGCCGCTGCCCCGGCGTTCACTCTGTGCTTGCCGCCAGCCCCGCTGCTTCCCGCACTTAAGTCCCCGTTACTGTCCACCAGCTGCAAAGATTCATAACCATCGTTGCCGGTCTTTTTCCGGTAGCTCCCGAGGAGGCTCATGGGCAAGCCCGGAGAAGAGAGAAAATAATCAACCTGGGAAACGAAGGGGGAGATGGAAGGCGGAAAGGGCTGAAGGAATTAAAAAAAAAAAAAAAAAAAAAATCAAGTGCCCGACATGACGCACAGAGGGAAAAGAAGGGGCGGCCACCGGAGAGGAGCTTCGCGGGGCGAAGCGAAGCCGCCGCCCTGGGCAGAGCTCGGCTCGGGGCGCCTGGAGGAGGGAGGGAGGGAAGGAGACGCGGGCGGGCGGGGGCGCGCGTCCTCGGGGCCAACGCCGCGGAGACGCCCGGCCCTGCCGAGCTCCGGGCCCCGGGCCAGCACCTCCTGGCTGAGGAGTGCCCGGAAGCAATCCTATAGGTGTCGCCGCGTCGCCCCGCCGCGCAGCAGGGCAGCGCCAAAGCCGCTGGCCCGCGGGGAGGGAAGGAAAGGGAGGAGGGAGGGGAGGGGAGGTTCGTGAGAAGGGGGGTTGAAGGCGGGAAACAAGGCGGGGTGGTCGGGGGAGGGGACTACTACGACGAGGGTTGGGAGGGTGTGTTCGCACGCGTGTGGCAGAGAAGAAAGGGGCGAGGTGTCTCGGCCTGCGAAGCTTGGTGGACCAGGGGTCTCGTGGTAAAATCCAGACACACCCATTTCATGCAACTTAGCCTATTTTCACCGGAGTCCGCCAAGGCCACCAAGACCGTAACCGTCCTAGAGGACTTAATTGTAACTCAACAGAAAAGGAATGCATGTTAAGTGCCAGAATATATCCATGCTAGGATATAAAGGAAGAGCAATATTTTGCATAATCTCCAGAATGGAGACGATCCCTAAGGGAGGTACCAAAGAGTTGGATATTCCATTACTAGGAGGTAGTTAGCATCCATTCTGCCTAGTGAGCAGATGTGACTGTTTAGAACTATTTGTTGAGCGAATAAACTGGGAAGAGGGGCAGGGTTAAGTCCGGTGCAATTTCAGATCTGCCGCCATTTACCATAGGACCTGGAGAAAAGACTGGATCAGTCAGTTAGCTTGAGGGCATGCTTGGGAAGCAAGATAGACAAGGATTTTTTCCCCATCCTCTAGCCTCACCCCTTATTTTTCTTTCATAATTCTGGCCAAAGGAAGCCGCCACTCATAATCAGAAGAGAATTTATCATGAAGTTAATTAAGCTGTATGCCTAATTTTATATTTGTTATTGTGTATTCTTAAAAGAAAATTCTAATACTGTATAAGTTCTGGACCTTAACAAAACCTGTATAAACTCTGATGAGTCTTAATGTAATTATCAAATGTTTATTTTCACTTAAAGCAATAAGATTTCAGAAGGACTGCTCATTCTCATCATCTTAGGTGAAAGATCAAGTAAAAGTCTTGGTTTAAAATTATAATTTTCTCTACTAAAACTTGGAGGGATTAAGGGAGGAGCCCTTCAAAAGTCATTTGACAGAGTTTCCTCACCAAAACAACAAAAAATTACATTCATGTAAAATGTACTTGAGCCCACACACAAAGCCATTTGCTTTCTTCTCATCTTACACGGTTTTCTCTTGGTGTCATTATTTCAGTTACCTAAGGACACAAAATCAAACAATAGCATCTAAGAGACTTCAGTCCAGATCATTTGAGACTCAGAAAGTTTCCTGGAAGCTCTAGCTCTACACAGGTCTACGTAAAATAAATTGGCCTAAGAGACATTTTCCTGTAACAGGATCACCCAAACACAGATTCTTGTAGGAAGCATATGAATCAGAAGAAGTCAAAAGAAATGTTTTCTAAATCCTTCCAGTCCTTCTGGGGAAACCTAAATTTCCTGGCCAGTTGCTTTCCCAACTGCATTATTTGATGGTTTGGTGTGGCCTGAATTGCAAATCAGAGTTAATGCTCACTTATAACAAGATAAAACAGCCTGAATGGTGGCAGGAAAAACTGTAATCAAAATTTTAAAACAAATTTTTATACTTTCATTTTCCAAGACTGAACTATTTTAGTTACTTGACTAAAGTAATAATTCTGTAAAGTCTAGTAAAGAAATCTTTTCCCATAACATCTTAAATAATCTTTCTCTGTACTTTTTCTTTTAATTCATTACCAACACACAGGGAGAGTAAATACCTAGTGTTTATCATGTGTCCTGACAAATGCTGGACTATAATCATTGGATTAAGAGAATTTAGAACCGGCTTGGGTGTCAGATTGAGATCCAGTCTCAAAAAAAAAAAAGTTAGGATCATTTTTGAAAAGTGAAAATTACTATTTTCAAAAAGCCCTTATTTTTGCTCAATTTCAACTTGCAGACATAGTGCTGAAGGAAATTATAGATTAGATGTATGCCTTTGTAGTTTTCAGTATCTACGGAGTTTGCAAATTTAAAGAAAAATATGAATGGGCTAAACAGGATTTCATTTTTATCTTTACACTTAATATAAATAATGTCAATCAGGATAACTATTAATGATCCTACAAAATTGAATATTTAAGGAGCATATTAAGGCAGGAAAATACAATAACTAGGTTAATTTACAACAGCCTAAATACTAGAGGTTGGGCCTAAATTTGAATATGCACCAATTTCAATATTAAAATTTTCTTTACTATGCTGAAGATCAAATTCATAAACTTAATGAATATCTCACTGTTCTACTCTATAAAACAAACATCATATGAGTACCATCATTATATAGTAGAAGTAAGAATTAGATTAGTACCTAACAGATATACAGAGAGAGAGAAAGACAGGGAGTACTTAACAAATGCTTCTATTACTATTATGGTCTGTACTGGGTGCAGCTCTATGCTCAGTGCCTGGCAGTCTTAGTTTTTCCCATGGGAAAAGCTCAATAAAGGCTAAGTATTATTTTTTCCAGGGGTATACTAATGGAAAATTGTCTATGTAATTTTGAATGAGAATTTGGGCTTAAGGGAGGTGGCGCTGGTCAAACACAAGGTAAATATTTAAAGCCTAACTCTTGATTTTGCAAACTCAAGATTACTTCATAATTTATCTCAAAAATACTACATCATACATGAGACAAAGGCAAAAGATAAGATGCCCTCTTTGGGGTGAGCAATCTTTCCCTTTGTCTTTTCTCTTGCTGCCTTCAGGTGCATTTATTAACTTGACGAAGATTAGCCACACTGAGGAATATTGAGGAACCAGGCTCTATTCCACCCCATCCCCTTCATACACACCCCATTCCAAATGCTGCCCTGTCATAGTGGATGCCACCTCACTTTTCCGGTGGGCTAAGAGAACAAAGTATGTATGCCATGACCTATGTAGGATTTTGATCCATAATTTTCATTTCCAGGAAATATAATACACTGATTAAGACTGAACTTACCTATGATTGATTCTTAATTCCAATTGCTCTTGGCTCTATGACTTTGGGCAAGTTACTTAACATCTCTGCGTCATTTTTCTCCTCTGTAAGATGAGGATTATAGTAATGCCATCATAATAAGGTTATAGTGAGAAGTAAATTTGTTCCTAACTAATAAGTACTTAATACATGCTATCTATTATTATTCCACTTCTTTTAAAAATGTTACCTTTCCAAAAATGCAACTTCCTATCTGTACAATTAAGCCAAAATTGGCCCAGCTTACCTAAGAGATTTATTATCATTATGACATATGATAACATAAAAGCACTTTGTATAATGTGAACTGATTGGCCTTGAGTTATTAAATATTCACATGTATATGCTTCCTATTGGATTTGCACTCTTTGAGGGCAAAAATCTATGTTTTGTGCATGTCTGTGTTCCCCATGATACTCCAAAGAGCTCTTCACTCTCATTAGATATTGAGTAAATATCTACTGAATTAATAAACAAAAATGTCATAGCATTACCTAGGCCAGTGATTTTTTTAAACTATATGTCATAGCCAATGTGTAAATTATAAAGTATTTTCATAAAAATGAAATAGGTTGGAAAATATCAGCATTTGGAACACAGGTATTGTTTCTTAAAATATTGTTTTGGGTTTGTGTGATACGTATGAGTGTGTATGTGCATGTTTCTGCTCAGTAATGATATAAATGTATTTCTCACTGTGTGTCCTAATTATAAATGTGTAAATGTCTTTGTTATGGGATAATCTCTGGTACTAAGAGGTCCTAGTATTCCTAATTATGAATGTCCTATACACTGTGACATCTGAATTCATTTGGCTAATTGGACCGCAAACAGTTTTGGCTAAGCAGACAGTAAATGAAGCCAGAGCTTCTACTCTGTTCTCTCTTACAAAATATATTATGATCAGGTTTCTAAAATGCATCTCTTCAATTTTCTGTTTTAACAGATATAAATCAATGCACAGTATTGAACTTACTTTGGCAATGTGCCTGAGGGTCATAATCCAGATTATCTCCTTATTGAATAAGGCCTATGAACATACATAGTGCAAGGCACTCACACTGGGGAGTATCAGGCCATCTCTGACTCCCAGACATATTTTTTCTGTCCTATACTTCTTAAAATGAAAAACATTTTAGTTTAGATGCCTTTACAGAGGGTACAGAGGCTCCAGTCTGAGGGCCATGGTTCACTACTACTTCCCAATGTAGGATACTCAGCCTCCTCCACTCATTCCTACTACCAGTCAGCAAGCCCTTGCAGGCACTTGAATTTGAGACCTGCAGTGTAGTGGCAAAAGCTTAAGGAGAAACACCACCAAGACTCCAAAAGCCAGGTCTTTAGGCCGCAGTCCAGAAGAAAGTGGAACAGACTGAGAATCCTCTCCTGACTCTGCTCTTTATCAGCAGGGTGTCCTTGATCCATTCTCCTTCTCTTAGCAGTAAAATCAAAGATGCTG